CTCTCTCTCTCTCTCTCTCTCTCTCTCTCTCTCTCTCTCTCTCGCTCTCTCTCTCCATACGCACGCGCCTTCGCAGTAGAAAAACAACCTTATCTTTGCCACCCTCGTGTCAACACGGTGATACGACCCAGAAGCGCGGAGCGCCGCCGCTGAACTCCTGCACCCCGGGGAGGGAAGGAGGGAGAGAGGAGAGACTGCAGCAAGCCCTCCGAAGCGCCTCCTCTTCACCGGAAATGTTTACAGCTTCTCTCTCTCTCTCTCTCTCTCTGCTGAAGGAGGAGCAGGGGGTGACTGACTGCGGGATACTAGTCCATCACCCCGGTTTCAACAAGATTTCTTTCCTGGAAAGGTTTTTTTGGGGGGGGGTTCTTCCTCTGAATTAAGCAAAAAGCGGGGTGAGGAGTAGTTCTGTGGTCCGTGAGTTCCAATCCTGGGAAAGAACGAGAAGTTTTGGAGTTCAGTGTTGATTCCTTGGCGCACAAACACACTTTGCATGAACTCAGCAGCTTGAACTTTTCCACTTGTAACTGCAGTTTGTTTTTCATATTGTGTCAACACCAGGCATAAGGCAGATTTAGACCATTGTGGCCGACTTTGGAGACCCCCCCCCCCACCCCCCACACACACACATTTCATAATAAACACAATATATAGGTCATTTCAAAAACTAAGTTTCTTTCCATGTATCACGTGATTCAAAAATGCAGAAAAACGCCTACATGAGGAACAAATAAACGTGTGTGTAAATGCCAACTAAATCAACAAATATAAAAGGCCTGTCAAAATTGCACAAAACAAGCAAAACCATCTTCTATAAAACTACATTTGAAGAATAATGCCATTCCCGATGAAAAAACAAACAAACAACAACATGCTGCCTCTTTTTGGGACATTTTATCTCTCTTCTGTTGTGTTTGCCATGTGATGAGAGGCAGCATTACTCAATCCCTGCACCCTAAAAACTGAGTAGGATTTTCTAGGAACTGGCAGGAACCACCCACTGCACTGAGAGCTGTCCATTCTAAAAATGGAAGGTGGGAGGGGTAGGGCTGTGTGAGAGGGGGGGACTGGGGGGACTGGGGGTGTGTGGGGCGTTTTCAGTTTGTCTGCTGCACTGAAACTGCACTTAGGAAAGGATGACTATTTATGTTGATTTGATCTAGAGGAGAATAGTTTAATGTGTTCTGAGTGAAGAGTTCAAGTACAGCTTCAGGGACAGTTTAAGAGTTGTGTTTACTTTGAATTATGTTGTGAATCTGGGTTAAAGTGAGACCAGTCCCTGAATAATAATAGAAAACATTGCTTGAGTTAACTTACTTCTAATGCATTACAAGGATGTTCATCTAATGACATAAATTCAAGTCAGTTTATAGCTACTCACTGCAAAGTCCTGAAGACTTAAGAAAACATAAAGAAACCAAATCTGCACTCTTCTCATAATGATGATTAATGGTGAATGGTCTGAACATGTTTGTTCTGACTTAAAACAATGTTTCAACAAACTACTGTTTGTTTGTTTATACAAAATTAATATTATTGCAATTATGTCAACAATGGCGACAGATGAGCCATTTCAGATAAATTAATTGGACAGTTATGATGTATTTATAATTATTCATTCTCAGATTGGTTGAGCAACATGCTTTTAAAACAATCCTATACTAAAATTGAAAGTTTTACCGGTCTAAAATAAGTTTTACAAAAGCAGAAAATGTTTAAATGTGGAGCTCTGTCTTTCTGGCCCTCCTCCACCGTGCTCAAGACCCAGTATTTATTTTAGACTTAATTGTTTTTTTTTTTTCTTTCACATTTGACAACATATTCACTGTTATTATTCCACCTAAATGAGTTCTCTGAGATCCTACACTTGTTTGATTCCACCATATTTGCTCAGCAACCAGATAAACTCATGACTCAAGTTTGCATGTGGCTTTTAGAAGAATCAGCCAAGGGTTTTGTTTATAGTGTGTACCCACATTAAAAAAATGTATATCAGACAGTAATATTGGAAAACTACCAGGAATCTTCCAAATTGCATTATTTGATTCAGTTCAAAATAATGTTTTTTAAGTTTTATTTTATAGTTTTCAATCACTGCCTGGATTAAGTTGCACAAATTTAATTGTGAATAAGTTATAGCAGAGGTCTTGTTTTTAGATCTTCAAAATAGTCAAGAAACTTAAGTTTTTTTATGCATTGAAATAAAATAGCTGTAATAATGCTATATGACAACCCTTTTCTAAAACCACATTTTATTTCCTTGAAAATTATCTATAAATTGTTTTTATAGGATTATCAATTGATTATTACGCTTAGGCAGTAAATAAACACACTGAAACTTTTAGCTGAAACTTGCATAACATCACACCCCGAAATTCACATTTCCCATCCGTGAACAGAGCATAAATGCAGCACCACCCTAGCCCCGCCCTACTATTTCCAACCCTCGCCTGTGAATGGTCCGCTGTCCCGTCACTCACACTGCATTTCCAAAAGGGCGAGTCACGCCCTCTCCCAGCCAATCGCGGCAGGGTTTCATTATGACACGCCAGGATTCCGCGAATTTGTTTCTTGGAGTTGAGAGAACGGCTGCTCCCTGAAAAATTAGGACAAGTTGACGCAGGAACAGAAAGCACTGGTACATCAGCTCTGTGGCGTTTATAGAGTTCAGACGGCAGGAGCTACAGGCAGAAGAAGAAGAGGAGGAGGAGGAACGGTTCAAACCATCTTTGTTGAAGCGGTCTTTCTTTAATCGCTGCAGCATCTTCAGTAAAACTTGAACGGAACGTCACGATAATTAACCTCATTTTCCTCAAACTTGGACCGAAGCCAGACTCCCGTTTTCTTTGTTTGTTTTTTTGGATTGTTTTTAACACTTTCTTGCTCTGATCTGCACTAACGATGTCGGAGTTTGACGTCTCTGCGGACTGCGTCCCTGCTCGTCCTTCGGGGAGAACAGGGGACGTGTTTAAAGAGGACCAGGAGGAAAACGGGACTTTGCTGATGGTGGCGATGATTCTGCTGGACTTGAGGAAATACAGCCCCGGAGAGAGCAGGTGTCTCGGCGGCGGCGGCGGCGGCGAAGGAGCGGGAAGGCAGGAGAAAGAGGAGCGGGGCGGCCGCCGCCTGGACGCCGAGGACAGCCGGGCCTCGCTGGGTCTCAAACAGACCCGAAACCACAACAAGGCGACGGCGGGGAGGCAGGAGTCCCACGAGAAGCGGCACTGCTGCCCGTTCGCCGGCTGCGGGAAGATGTACGGCAAGTCGTCCCACCTCAAAGCCCACCTCAGGGTCCACACCGGTAAGCTGCTGGGGCCGGGGACACGCCTACATGATAATAAATCACACACAGGCTCGGTTCTGTTGACCACAGCAGAACCGCGCTGCGTCACTTCTTCTATTACTTTTATTCCGCCCGACAATTATTATGACGTCGTAATAGAAAACAACAACTCACATAGTGAACATCAGGCTTTAATGATTTAAGAGCAGGTGGTCCACGGGGCAGATGGTGTGTGAGCAGAGGGTGTGTGTGTGTGTGTGGAGGGGAGAGATAAAGGTGTACTAACGAGCTGTTGACACGCGGGTTGTGGTGGGAACACAATGTTCTGCTGCCCATGTGATGCACCGCGGACCGTGGGGATGGAAACCCCTCAGGGAGGTGACTCAGACGATGGTCTGTGCGCGCGCCCCGTCCTGTAAAAGGTGAATTCGGCTGTTTAAATGACGGGAAAAGTAATAATCTGCCAACAAGTTGGCTTATAATCGACAGAGCAGGTCACTGCGACACAGTTGTCACCACATGTTCTTGTCCGGAGGGAACCCACCCACCCTGCTGCTACAGCCGCCGCTGCGCCACCGCTTCCTCATACGTCACTCACCGCCACACCCCTCCGCCGGGTTGTAAACAAAGGCAGGCACGTGGTGCAGTGGAGCACGTGGAGCTCGAATTGGGGTGTGGCTTTATGTATTTTTTGAATTGATTATTTTAAGAATGCTTTCATAACTGCGGAAGCCCATTTCCGCCACTCTGATGAAAAAAGAAATAAATCCTTAAAGTCACAAGTCATACTATCTCATGATTGACTTGTGTCTCTTGATCATATAATTACGTCACACTTATCTCATTATTATAACTTAATATCTCAACTATCACATAAGGATCACTCAGTATCTGACACAAGCAAACTTGCATAAAATGTTTGGCAACTTCCACCAGATGCTGATGCAACCTGCAGTCTGCAGCTTCAGGATTACAAAACTGTGGCACTGCTGCAGAGCTGCCCAGGCCCCATCATCATGATTTACTATTTTATAATACGGACTCAGTATCTAATTATTATGACTTATATCTAACTATTATTAAAACATAATGTTGAGATTATACCTCATATTTTTCTCAAGTTAATTTTTGTTGTTAGCAGTCACAACTCATAATTTCTCCTTGTTTATGTCAACAGCTGATATTTTCTTATATAGAACAGGCATTTGAAACATGTTTTTTTTCACATGAACACCTCAAACGATGATAAGCATATAAGATTATATAATTACTGCTTTCTCTAGCAGCAAATAAAGGTTAAAAACAGCTAGGAATTGCAACAAGAAGTGTGTAAATAGCACTATTATACAAATATGAAACAGCAAACTGAGCTCAGACTGGCACTAAAAAACTGCTAAACAAATACTTGATTTGCATTTTTTCTTCTAAAATACATTTCCTTATCTGCAGCTGAAGTTATACTTTCCTCATATTGTCTCTTTAAAATATGTGGATAGCTTTTAGTAGACCTTCAAAATAAAGTTATCTTGTAAATGAGTAGGAAATGAGTTTTATTTAATTTAATTTTTTTTTCAGACATAGTAAAAAAAAAGCTCAAATGTTTTTAAGGTGGTATCAGTTACAGTTTTGAAAACTGGGTTGTAGAATTAGGTCAAAAGAAATGGTTGATGTTGCAAACAAACATAAAAGTCTTAAAGAGTCAAATTTACTCGCATCGATTACAAAAACTGCTTTTGTCACCTCAGGCGAGCGACCCTTCAAGTGCACCTGGCTCGACTGCGGCAAGAAGTTCTCCCGGTCGGACGAGCTGACGCGTCACTACCGCACGCACACGGGCGAGAAGCGCTTCAACTGTCCCATGTGTGAGAAGTGCTTCATGAGGAGCGACCACCTGACTAAGCATGCCCGGCGACACGCGGGCTTCCATCCCAGCATGCTTCAGGGCTCCAGCGTGGCCAAGAGACGCTGCTGCTCCATGTCCGTGTCCTCCTGCGAGTCTGGGGACCAAAGCCCCTCTGGTGTGTGAGGCACGCCTGCCTCCTGTACAGGTGTAAATACAAAGGCGCACGGTAACATACACAGCCGTGTGTATCTTTACGAGTCCCGTCCAGCCAGGCCACAAGTTCAGGGAGGTTCTTTTTTTTCTTTCTTTCCTTTTTTTTCATGCATGTAACATTGTGCAACAGCTGACAAGAACAGTTTGAACCAGAAACTCAAGGTAACTGGTTTATTCCCTGAGGCAACTGGTATTTATGAAGTGTTACTCAGGGTCTAACAGGAAGGTTGATTCATTTTTGTGTTGTGATACTCTCTCTTTTTTTAACAAACTTTTTGTACATAAGCAGTATTGCTTTCTGAAACACTACATGTGTTCATGTAGCCTAAATATATGATATAATTGCCTACAGAATCCTAAAAACAACTAATTTCTACTGTGTTCATAAGCTTTGCATATAGTCCTTTTAGCAAATGTTAACTATTGTAAATATAGACACAATTTTGTACAGTTATTTTTCAGTCTAAGACAACATGAATGCAACACAGAACAGTATTACCATGTAAATATATTAAACGGACAGTGTAATGGAAACAGAGTTTACTTATTTAAATTCATATTGGACACAGCCTTCAGGGGTAATCAGGTGTGTTGGCGCTTGTACATATTTTTAAAAAAAGTGTTGGAACTGATGTTTTTCATGCAACAACGACAATAATGAACTTGCACATACATGCACAGAAATTTATCCGCATTACATTGTGACAAAAAAATCATAACGCACGAGCTGATTTCACTGCAACAATCAACACGCCGAGGGGTTGTGATGTTTTGTTCATGCTTGCAAGACAGCACAGCGGGGTGGTAATGTGTTTTGTTCTGCTTATAGCTAAAGCACTCAAAAGGTTAAAAAATGACGCTCAGAAGTGTGTGTGTGTGTGTGTGTGTGTGTGTGTGTGTGTGTGTGCGCCTTTCTGAGGGGAATTTGTGCATTTTCATCTCCGAATAACTGACCACTCGAATGAACATTGTCACCTTCTTTCCGTTGCATTTTCCTAAATACTTTAAAGACTCTGTAACACCAACGGTGCCAGTTGCTTTGTGCGCAAAAAAAAAACAGATTTCATTTCTGTGTGGACTGCATTTCTGTTTAATAAGGGACTCATGTCTTTTGTGTTCATGCTGTGAAAACTACACCCCCATGTGGTGACATGGAAGCACAACATTTCTCACAGGGAAACATCATTACATCTTTTTTTTTTTTTTTTACTTGTTCCTGCACTTTTAAGGACTGATCGGACTATTAGTTTGTTCCGAAATGATTGTATTCCATCCTGTAGCATGCTTGTACATTTCTTTTTTGTCTGTCTGGTTATCTTTTGTACTAAAGGAATGGGAGTTTGTTTTAGGAGCCAAATGCATTTTTGTTATTCTTTTTTTCTACTTGTCACATAATGCATTGAAAACAAGAAGTGTGGAATATTTGAAGGACTTAAATGAGATGTTTTTTTGTGTGGGGAGGATTAAAATCAACTGATTAGTTGCTGGTGCCTTTCAGATCGAAGCCATTTTTTATTTCTGAAGCTTCTGTAATCAGGGACTGATGCAAACCTTATGTTCTTTTTTTTCTTTTAACCTTATGTTCTTGCAAAACACGACTGTGTAATGATTGCTCTTTGAGGATTTATCATTAAAATGACTGTTTTTTCATACTAACCATGTTCTCTTTGCTGCTTTTTTTAATGGACTCTAATAATTACAACACTTCCAAAAATATTTTTTCCACTTGCTTTGTGTTTATTTATCACCGTCATACACTGCACACGACAATAACATCGTTAAATACCTTAATGGGAGTGTTTGCATTACTTCAAATTATTCTGAAAATGGAAAAAGGAAAATAAAATAAAAACAGTTATTGTGTTTACATGGGTAATTAAAAAAAGCACAAGTTCAATGACAGCAAACGGATTTCAAATAAACTACAAAACAGCAATACATACACACATATTTAACTTCTCTGTACTTAAGGCATACTCTAAATGCAATCAACTGATTCAGAGAAGAGAGTGTTTGTAAATGATGGATACTGGTGCTCCAAGTCAACAATACTCTGTGTAGAGATTACGAAACCCTTTCCATTCTATCAGTCAAAATGAAATTCGGTTGCCGTTTCTCTTTTGGCATTGTTTTGTGTGCATGCATCTGCAAAGAGGAGAGGGGCTATTTTTCTAGTTTGAACTTGTGTGTGATTCTGTAGGGTCCAGTGATCATTCTGGGACTGTAAAAATAAGGCTCTAACGCAACAAAATGTGCTGGATAACTGGTTTAAAGTCCAACCCTCATCTCCCTTTTGTTCCTTTGGCCTTTGCTAATATGGATCATGTGAGCGTTGGGTTAAAAAAATATGCAATCTTCCCTTTTATGAGCCGCAGCCACTGCTGCGGGGGACAGAATGCACGATACGAGCCCCRTAAAACTAAAAGCAAAAATGTGTAAACTTAATATGCACAGCGGCTCTGTGCCTTTTTTATTTTACTCCCTCCGTCTTTCATGCAGTTTGTTCCAGAGTCACTCCTGTTCAAACGTCTCACCTTAATTCCTGTGACGAAGTGGGGCARAGGACATGATAGGTGAGACTGGACCTGTGCTACATAACAACCCTGTACAGTACAATGAATTAAATATCAGCGCTCCGATTTTTTGGGGGTGTGGGTACAAGTCCACAATCCACTCTGGAATCTCTCGGTTTCATCAAAGTAAGTTTTGAAATAAAAAAGAGAAAAAGGCAAAGCGGAGTTCAGGGAGGTAAAGCAGTCAGCAGTTATAATGTTTGTTACTGTTCAGGAATATTAAACTCAACATCTAATGACCTTTTCTTGACTGTAAACTAAAATCGGAGCGTTATGTTACATCACCACCTTGCAAGAAGCTCTGAAACAGAAAGCAGGTCCTGCCATAGGAGGAATCCATCACTTTACGAGCATTTTAATGAATTACACCCAGAGTTTTCTGACCTGTGCCCCTTCTTCTAGGTTTTGATTCTGTTTGTTACGCGATTACTTGCTGTTATCATCATAGCACTTCAACTGTCATGACAATTTTCTACAAATGCCTCACTGTCACCACCCTGGTGGCGAGGCAAACTCACAGGGGATGGAGATTTGGGTGGGGGCGGGTTATGTCATGTGGAGAGCGCTGGGGGTCAGAGAAAGTGGGGGTTACTGGATTTGGCAGGTTGTGGAGGAGGTCGCCTGGCAGCACATGCAGGTGGGGTTGACAGATTTGGGCGGGATCAGATCCAGGTCCTCGTCGTCCGGGATCTCGTCCAGGCGATAACCGTCTTTCAGCAGCTGGATGTTCAGATCCTGGTTGATTTGCTGAAAATAAGTAAGTAAATAAATAAATAAATAAATAAAAAAGAGAAAAGGGGTTTGTTTGTGTGTGGACAGACACAATTTTTTCTAAACTTATACAATTACATCTGGGTTTCTGCATCGAGATTTTATAGGTACCTGCGGCTCTGATTACTTCCTTCAAAACATTAAAGGTCACCACCAAGTGAAATGCCATATACACACACACACACACACACACACACACACACACACACACACACACACACACA